TCGTTCTGTGCTGCTGCTGTTCTTTTCTCTTTGCAACATGGGGGGGGGGCAGAGCCCCCACCCCCCCGCCGCACCGCCCAGGTGGGCGAGGCGGCTGGGGAATTCTGGGAGTTGAAGTCCACCTGTCTTAAAGTGACCAAGGTTGAGAAACACCGCCCTAGAACCATCAGGCTAGACTTGAGTGAGTCACAGGGCTTACAAGAACAGCACAGTAAAATTCAGGTTCAATTTACGTAGGTACTTTGGACCCAAATTGGAAAAATGGTTGTGTTCCCCACATGGGCACCTCAAAGAGACTCCATCAGCACATACATCTACTGAATCCGTTTGCCGAGCAAGCGTTATTCTAACCCCAGTACCCCAACTCACGAGTCACCCAGCAAGAGAATCATGGGGAGGAGAACGAGAGACAGCAAGAGTGGGATGACCTGCACCCGCTCTGTCTGAACAAACCTCCAACACGTGAATGTTGATTCAGAAGTGGCCGAGAGCGCGGACTCACCATCGAACTTTCTGTATCGCGAACTGAAGGTTCCTTGCAAATTGTTGCTCAGCTCGACAACAGCATGGCTGAAATCTTGTCGGCTCTGCTGCCAATACTTCTCCTCCATGGCTTGGGAACAGCAGGTGTAGCCTTGAGGGCAGACTTTCAAGTGATCACCTAAAAACACATCCAAGGGAGAACTTAAGCATAGGCACCCACCTCCATGGCAACCCACCAGAGGCTTAATCATGCCAATACACAGAAAGCAAATTCCTGGCAGGGCGCTGGCATTTCATAATGGCATCTATTTACTTATGTTAGGGTTCTTAGAACCTGCCCAACTCCAAAGACTCAGGGTGGGTTACAACAGGTTAGTCTTATAAAAGCCACGATGGGGAACAAATCAAAGCAAAAACAAGAGTCATCATAAATCAGCCGTCCCACCAGACGAATGCCGGCTAGGGTAAAAGGCCCGATAAAACAAATCTGTCTTTGACAATCTTCTAAAAACCACCAGGGAGGATCCAAAAGTGTGGGGGAGGCCCCAGAGAAGACCTGTCATTTTATCCTTGTGCCCATGACCTCAGAGCGAGGTTCTCACCAGATGGGCAAACTTGGTTCTGCAGTGCATAGGAACCAGTGAAATGGTGACTGCATTTGTATGGCACTAAGCCAGGATGTCATGGGTTGGCAGCCACAACACCAAGCTTGCAATAGCTCTAAACAGCACTCACACATCCCCAATATTCAATATCATGGCACTTGCAAGGGAGCACCTCAACCTAGACCCATTTGCATAAAGATTCAAGTGAGAGAAGTGATTGCAATCTATGTTTGAACCCTGTCCCTAACCATTCCAACACATTTTCCGATCAGAGTCATCTTTTTTAGCTGAGTAAATCCATGCTTAAATCCACCTCTCGGACCAAACATTGCGGCCTGAGTCACGCGTGCCCAAGGGAGCGTCACGCCTGACTCTGTGCAGTCTCCTGGTTTGCTCTTGCTCCTTGTCTGGAATTCCACGGAGGAAGGATGAAGAACCAGCTCGCAGCACCCATCACCTTTGGCCACCCCTGGTTTGTACAAAGTGTGTGGTGGAAAGCGGCACCATTCAAGAACACAGCTTCCAGATTCAACCAAGTTCAATATTAGGAACAGAAGGGTTTTTACCATTTTCAAAACATAATCTGAGCAGTGCAAACGTCTTCTCCTTCCAGCTGAGAGCCACGCTGCA